GTTTTCAGAAAAAATATCTTCTTATTTGTGAGGAATATGAGTAAAAAGAAAAGAAATATAAACAGACGACAGCATATAAAGACAGAAACCGATATAAATCCAAAAATATTACAACAGGGTCTTAGATTTTAGTGATCATAACTCTATTGTCACGTTATTAATGAAAATTAAATAAAATCCATTGTCGTCTTATTGTTTATGACTTCAAGAAATCGTTTTCCTTTTATGATGTCACAATTATTCAAGGTAACAAAACAAAATGCAGGACGTCCTCGCGCGAAGACAACATCATATCCTGATTAAAGAAAAAACTGCATTAGGAACCGGAAGAATACACGAGTTGGTAAATTAATAAATAAATAAATACATAAAAAATAAATGAATGAATGAATAAATAAGAAAACAAAAGTCAAAACATATAAAAACCGAGCACGTTACTTATTGAAACACATTGTATGTAAGTATTAGTTCACTTGATATGACAGAAATGATTGGATAAAATATTAAAGTTATCAACTCCTTGATGGTTTCATTCGTAACACGGTCACTTCCCGGTTATCCGTTACAAACATATTTAATGTAAGAGCATTGACGGAGAGCATCTCGTAAGATGCCTCAATTTGAAAAAGGATTAGTCGAATTCCCCAAAAGCAAGAAAGGCTTACAAATTTAAAAAATAAATAAAAAAATAGGCCCACCAAAGTTCCGAATGAAAGCCATTAGAGATTTGTTGCTTGCCTTATTGATCCGAATGATCTAAAATCAGGAAGGCTTCTACAGATGGTTGTTCCAAAGCACAACCTCTCTTTTCCGCTGGAAGCCAAACTTAAATTAACATTTATCACTTACTAGTGCCAAGTAACACTCATTATTTCGGTCGTACATCTGAATGCGTTCAGATATTTTTTATTATGTCAACACAGAACAACGGTATAGAACAAAGCAGATAAGGTTTTTCCAGTGCGTTGATGTTTCTTTTCCTAATTATATAAATGTTTATTCAATCGTACAGAGTAAGAGTGCATGTTATCTGACACAGAGTGTCTCACCTATAATGGTTGTCTGTTTCAATGTGACAGGGGAGATAATAAGCTAGTGCTATGTGTGTATTGAGAGGGTATTGATAAAATATCAGTGGAATCTCCCTTTTGTTACTAATGTTTGCACTCTTCGTGTGTCAACATAATAGAAGTCCTCCACTACGTACATTTATTAACTTGACACTGAAATACAAAGAATTAACACTGTATGTTAGCACTATACAACCGAGCGATTAAGCAACATATTTTGGAAACAATTTCGTAGGCATTTGAATTTGTAGATAGACAGGTAATCAACCAAAAAAAGAAAAACCACGAAAATTACGGATTCCACAGTTCAGATTGAGCATTTATCTATATGTACTGTGAAATCACTAATTTTCGTGGGTTTTTATTTTTCATTGGTTCCGTGGGACTGTCCATCCACGAATTCAAAAGCCCACGAAATGATTGTAGGTTTGCCATGAGAGTATTTTCCGTAAAAGTAGTATGATGTTAGCTATACGATAAATAAAAAACCAAGGCATTGCTAATTTAGTACATTATATAGTTATTGAGTTTCGTGAGTAATTGTCATCAACGAATTTATGTAATCACAAAAAAGTGATTTTGGAAAATATTTGATTTTTACAGTGTATCAACATATTTTCACATGCTACTTAGTGCAGTTTTAGGAAAGAAATGAAGATCCGCTCTGTCCTTTTGTGTGTCGTAAGAGGCTACTAATATGCCCTTTTTGCCTGCTATGCTTTGCTTAGGGTCACCTTCTTAGAGAACATTTACTTAAGAGACTGAAACGAATCTGATATGGAATGAAGCATCAATTGTTCTCTCTTTCCTACTTCCCCCGTTCGGTGTTGTATCTCTGAGAAATGGTTAGTATTGCCCTAGCTAATGCGATGACGAACCAACCTATCCCCCAAAAAGGACGTGCAACGAAAGTTCAAACGATTAAATTGGTACTGTGAGTGCGATGTTATAACATGTTCTCAAAGTGAGAACTGGGTTTCTTGCGATGATTTAATGTCATACGTCGGATATGAAAAGCGCTCAAGGACATTGATCTGTTTCTTCAGATATTGTTATATGAAAACTGGCAGAAGAAATGTAAATATATATATATGAAGTAAATAGGGAGAAGATTTTATAACAGACCTATCATGTAAGACAAGTTATAAGGATTCCCAACACAAATTGAATCATATAAAATGCTGTTGTAGCTACGAATGCATATGCGTTTAAAATGTCGAGATTATTTGCCTGGAGCAAAACATATGCTTAGACGACATGCGAATTAAAAAAACGTTATCTGCGTTGTGTATGTCACCCTGGTAAAATTCAGCCGCTTCCTACCGATTCAACTATGGCTAATTTCTCCCTGATGGTAGAGCGAAATACTCGTAAACTAGAGGTCAAGAGTTCCACTCCAAACGTCCAAGCGGAGGCATTGGAAAAAATGATAATGACATACGGTAGAGCGTAAGTCTAGTAAACCACAGAACCCGGGTTCGATTCCTAGCGGAGGCATTGTTAAAACAAAGATGACCTCTGTTACATGTATTTACACGTACATTAGAATTTTTAAGTAATGACTTAGTCCATTTACCGGTGAAACAGACGTGCCCTACCCATGCGAACTACTTGATTGGCGCATATTTGCATGTAGATATGTTCATACAGGCGATGTTATGTTTGCTACACTTAAATGATTAGTTTCTGTTTAAAAAGATGTTAGGGTTCGTCAACACAATATACCTGAATTGTGTTATCACGTTGTAGGTCATGGTTTGTATAAACACTACGTGTTCAAATAAATAGATGGGCGGAATACTATAAACAGGGTGTTTACTTTCAACATGTACACGTTGATTTTGCACCAGGATATTCGTAACGATCCCGAAACTGGAAAGATTTATACTACATGAACACTATCGATATTGCAATCATGAATCCAATACTCCGCGAAATACATTTTTAGCATCCACATGAACACAATAAAATGGTAAACAGTACGAAAAGACGTCTAAAAAAAATCACTAATTTACAAAATATGTACATATATAAAATACGAAATGCATGATTATGATATAGCCAAATATATAGCTGATTATAGTCTAAGATGATTTAAACCCTTAAAATATATAGATATTTAATTCATATCATTAGTTATTGTAATCCATATAATATTATCAATTGAAGTTAAGGACTTTGCAGAAGCTGTCATACCAAGTTCTTACTATAGGTCCATACAGGTCCATATACCGTCGTATGTGCGTCCCTGTGTTTGTTCTGGAAAGGTATTGCATTCTGTTTTGTGAAAGAGACATCGCTTCAAACGACATTTCCCCCCTATAGTACTGCTCCACTTGAATGCTATAACGTTGATACGGTAGCACCCATCCCACATCTGGTACCCTTTATACTACTTCCTTTATACGTCATCGGTTCAAAATTCACCATATCGATTACGATTCTATTCTAATACTCTTAACAACATACGCAGCCATGAGTTGAATGAAAGTTGATAAAGAATAAAGTACTGTAAGTGTACACATTTTAGCGGTAGTATAATTTTAGCGGTTTTTCAAACTTTAATTATAGTGCTAAATCATGCATATGCCAATGAAGTTCGATTTGCGCTGAAACTTCAATGCGCTAATCAATATAAATTCGATAATGCACTAAAATATTAGTACGCTCAAATAACAGGATTGCGCATATATTGTTATATTGATAAACATCGTTTAAACATATCAAATAGCATGGCACAGGCATTCATTAAAATGTACATATTTAATTTTTAAAAAGTGCCTCGTAGCTACGTGTTTAAACAACATATTTTTGTTAGCTATTATTACCTATACAATTTTGATAACAACTCACGTTGCAGCTGTAAACAAGAAGTTTAAGAGATGATATTGATTACTTTCATTCACCTCGAGAAATCATATAAGTTCACAGTCGTACATACATGATTCACAATTGAGAGCGATAACCTATATTTTTTTTTATTGAAGGAGCGAGTAACATGGGGTTAAAATCGATTGGATTTCTTAATTATCATATATATCTTCACCTCGTCCACTTATCCATTATCACAAATGTATGTCTAGACAGACCTATATATTATTAGAACATGTAACACTGTTGTAATTAATCTTGGAAATATACACTTATCACTAAGTTGATGCCATGTTTTTTGAGATATTGAAGAGCTGTGCTCTCGTGTTGAGAATCGAAATCAATTAAGGATGACTGAACTAACGTATTACCTACCATATTCCTATATCTTGCGTTTTATCATTTTCCATTATTTCTCGTTCCATTTGGTGTACTACTACATATTTTATATTGGTTATTAACTTTTACCAATGACTTTATTAGAGTTTGAAAATAGCATGCACAAAGGTTTGAAAATTAAACAAAAGGTAAAAGATTTATTTTTCAAAACCTATGAGTGTTCTACATAAGTCGATGGTTTAAAAGGACACATTGTAAGGGTGATTGTTTTGTTATTGTTTTTAGCTTATTTAACAGTTTGCTAAATATTTAAACAAAATCGATAGAACAATTGGCAGCTTTTGGGTTCTTCTCTATTAATTCAAAAGTTTTCTTAGTAACCNCCCCCCCCCCCCCCCCCCCCCAGCACAAACAACTTCAACTCGATCTTTGAAAAATAGTTTGCTAAATTGCTAAATATTTAAAAAAAAATCGAGAAAGCAAATAGCATCTTTTGGGTACTTCTCTATTCTTTCAAAAGTTTTTTCAATAACCTAAATGTATCACTTTTACAAAAAAACACCCACCCCAAACAAACACAAACGAATACAACTCGATCTTTGAAAAACAACTTGGACTTCAAAACAACATCACCCTACACGGTTAGTATTACAACAAAACAAAACAACAACATTTGATACCAGCGATAACAAACGTAACCACAAAAAATAGCATACTTACATAGGATAACATGGGAAGGTCCCAAGCCGCTGCCACTCTAGCCTCCACATTACAGCTGTCCTCTAGCCCGAAGAAGGCCACCGCCCCGTCCCTCCATAGATGGGTAAGTAGCTTAGTACCCAAAAGGGTACTAGCCTTAGTATCTTTCCAAACAATATTCAGATGGTAATCTTTGAGCAAAGTAGGGTTCCGATTGATTTTTTCAATAGCATAAGAAATTGCCCCTGAGATGAGTCTAGCTTGTTTGTTCCTCACATACCCATCCGATTGATCCACGGTAAGGTATCCTACCGTTACATTATGAACTTTCGCTTGGGTCCAACTTGTCACAAACAGGCACGCACAGAAACATGTCAGAAGCTTCATTATACTTTAAGAATATGTCACTTGTTAGATAAACAATCATTGCACACATATTCTATGAGACGTTGAAACACTCTTTCCTCAATCTCTTGTAAATCCTTTGTTATGTAGATGTGAAAAGTAATTCATGTCCTCCGTCTGGTTGGGTGCGACAAGCATCCTTGCCACCGATGTGCTCAGCTGAAAATAAGCACAAGGAAATCGTCATTAGAACCATGCCAGCATCCTGATCGACGTCATAAATAATACCTGTATTAAGCTAGATAAGAGATTTGCTTACTTGCCCGTAACGGTATAGGTCCTCGCCTGTCTCACCAGACTGCTATTAAATCGATAACAACATCATCTATAAATGGTATATATTCTATGGCCGTAAACACCCTATTATTCTACAAAAGTAACTAACCATTCATATTATAATGAATGCGTTTAGCCAGAGAAAAATCATTGCCTTGTAAAGACGCTTAGACAGGCCCAGTCATCACCAGACTGTCTAATTGTATTGGATGAACTGGGACTTCGGACAAGGCGGCTGTGACAATGAATCTCGGGGTCACCTCAACCTTCAAGGCCTGGGTAGATTGGATAATCATTACTGACATTAGGTGTGTTAGCTCAGTTAAATACACCGCCAATTACTCAGCTATAGCGTGATAAGAACTTTATCTTCCTCTCCAAGGATCTCCTCGGATATGTCACCACCTGGGCATTCTTTTAATTGAACAAATGTAAGACCATAAAAAGGTATAGACGCTCAACAAACAGACCCCGGAATCCATTGATCACAAATAATATCACCGACTTATCGATTTCAGCTGCCTTATACATTATTCGTCTGAGTGACATTCAGATTGATCAATTTTCTTTTGTGTATTGACAAATGATTTCTTTCAAGGTTGATCAATGCAAATATTGTTCATTTCCTGTCATTTTAACGAATTATGATTTTTCAGAAGATTTCCTTTCGTTTACCGACAAACGTTTTTTTTCAATTTTCAAGGTTGATAAATGTAAATAATGTTCATTGCCTGTCAGTATAACGAATTATAAATATTCAGAAAATAACCGTTTATCGATACAGAAAGTGATGTATTATCCCTTTATACGTATAAACCAATCCACTCAATGTGTGTAAAACTGAATTATATTTAAACTTTCATATTTTCCGTTATACAAGCATATGGCCCATCAATGTCTCAGTTATTAATTTAAGAAGAAGCGTCTCTTAATTAAAAAAAAACACCCAACATATGTAGAAATTTACGGAGTATGTCCATAAACCGAAATAAAGGTATCGTGCCATTAAAGACCCCCGACCCCCAACCCCGCGCTTATGTTAACAATTGAGCAGCAAAGAGGAAATAAGGTTTGACTATGTTGGGTGCCTTCGGCATGGTGTTTCAGTGAGGTACTGTAGCACTTTGAAGTTGGCATCATATCCAAGCTATCTTAAAGAGGCAGATACACCAACATACCGCTTCCAGCACAATGTCCTTTGCTGTTCATCAGACATTAAGCCCTATGCAGCCAAACCATAGAAAAGGAAGGGTGTAGGGGGAGGGGGGATGTTGGGGGTGATCTCTATAAAAAAATATTTTTTCGTTGTCATTAATGTTCAACGTTTTACTGAAATTGGTGAATTTAGAATCATTAAGTTATCGAGACTCTTGACCATAGTGGAGTGTGTTAAGGTAAGGATGGATCAATTTGAAAATGTTTCAGGTATAAACTGCGAAAATGAGAACCGCACTCATAAAACCCCTTTACAGTAGGTTATGTTACTATGATAAAAAGAGAAATTGTAGCCATTTTGAAATTGTCAGTTGTACACGGATACAAATGTTAACATCATTATCTATTGCATCAAATGGCAGACAAATGCCTGTATCATTGTCTTGGTAGTTTTGTTAGCTAAGTAAGAGGTAAGTTGAATATCACTATTTAATATCATGTTCGGAAAGTTTTGGAGACACCATGGAACTATATCTATGTGATACAAACATTCAGTCTGCTTGTCATCTTCCGATAAGACTTTTCATCCCTATGTAATTCAAATAGACTCTACCATGCATTGATCTGGACGAGTCCATTATGGTCTACAGTGGTTAAAGGGTTAATTATTTTGATTGAAATAGAAATGCTGTTGATAAACATAAGTAATACGATACATATCAAAATTATTTAATGAGTGATATAATGGGCTAGATATCGTAAACAGCGTACACATCAATGTAAACAACACGTCACCTAGAGGATACATTAGAACACACCCGAGTATTATAAATAGCCATAGTGCAATCAAATTGAAAAATTGATTTTATATGATACAAATGTACCGGTATTAGATGTCATTGTTCTTAATCGTTTCGATCAAATATTTATACACGTTTATACAGCTACGTATGTGGATTTCTGTTACTGAAATTAACTTAATATCAGCCATTAACGGTAATAGAACGAGTAATGGACTGCACTATGTATGGAGATAAACCAATTTCATTGAGAAATACAATCTGTAATCCCTATACATTAGACTGCCTATCAGCAATTATATTAGATTAAATCGAGAGAGAAGTAATAAATAAATAAATAAAATATACAACATTTGATATAGCGCTTTATCTAGCTTACATAAGCCACTCTAAAGCGCTTTTCAGTACATATGTATTCATTTTTATACAGTCAATACAATTAGCATATATATTAATCAATACAATATTCAGGAATTCGCAGGAGCTGCCTTATCAAGCGCTAACTACTAGTCCTATGCCACCTGGCTAATATCTCCCTATGTGTGTATGCCTGTGTGTGTGCTGGAGATGTATTGTGTTATTGTATTAAGTAATGGCTGTTTGCAATACAATAGAAGTATACACAGGCAGCAACTGATGTTATTACGAAATACCACGTGATAATGATGTCATACCAGGTGAACTTTTTCGACTATTTAATTCTCTAAATAATAACTGGTTTTAAATCTAAGAAGCAAAACGGGAAAGTTAATTGATTGACGTTGATAAGCATAGATATAATAATAACGATTAGGTCCAGCGGTTCATTAGAAAGCACATTAGCCTTTAACGAAGGCGACCGGGGTTCGATCTCCAGATCGGACGTGGAAAGATATTATGTCACATGCTAAATCTCGTGGATTTTCCTGGGATACGCAGTTTTCTCCAATAGTAAAGTCCCCTGCGCGCTTTTATCGGGGCGTCCAGATAAATTGATAAAATGATTTTCAAAATTGGTGTACAGTTAATAATATTTCATTTTTTAATGTACAAAGTACTTATATTCTTAAATGAAACCTCGACAACCTGTTGTCCGTTTTTAACATATATTAACCCGTTCAACGGGTTGTTTATTTTGTAGAGAAGTGAAAAGGTGATCTTATATGGGATATAACGTCATTTATTTGTGAGAGTAACGTCATCATTTTTTGAGAAAACGACGTAATTTTCACACACAAACCAATGACGTAATAATCAATACCTACTCTCAAGAGAAGATAACTCTGCAATACACAAAGACGGATGAACCCCGATGTTTGCCCTTTTCATATTTACGAGAAAGCTTAACATCATAAAACAAAGATGAATTATTATTTCAAGTATGCATGACAACTATATTGACATGGGAACGCTCAAAGATATACAAAGTTGATGCGAGGTTTATATCGTACAATTGTGTTACACCAATCTTCAATGATTTATTACTATTGGTCCCTTTACGCTGAGATGGATATATAACAATCATCGACAATAATGAACCACACGTGCAAACGATTAATACATGTTGATGTACGGAACGCGTGTTCAATTATTTTGAATGTGTATAATCATTCAAGCTTATTTCATCGTTTATCAGAAATTTGATCACGACTGTCTAGTGAGTATGAAACATGGGGCCCGTTTTGAAAGAGTTCTCATGTATTACAGGAATTCTACTTTCTCCGCAGTATCCTTTTTTAATGATTGGCGTATATATAACGTTTCTACNTTTTTTTTTTTTTTTTTTTTTTTTTTTATCAGTTTGGGAAACATTGAAAAGACTAAAAATGTTGCTTAGATTTTACTGTATAAAATGTACAGTTTTCATTTTTATTCTAAAAACTGAATCAGCTAATGAACTTTCTTCAATATATATATATTTATTATTATTTAGTCTAAATATATATATATATTTAGACACAATACGATAATAGCTATCTATCAGCAATTTTTCGTTTTGGGACTGAAAATCATCGGCAATAAGTCGTGTTAAACCATAAATATGAATGAATTGCTCGAGATAATCACTTGATTTAGTTTAAAACGGCAAAACGATCGCATTATATATCATAACAGGAGAAGAAAGAACGAAAAAAGAGGGAAAGAAAGAGTGAAAGAAAAATAAAGAAATATATATGTACAAATATTAAAATATGTATATATACATAAATAAATATGCGAGTGAAGTGCAATGAAATGTTTTTAAAAATAAAACTTCACCTACTCAATGGTGTCTGAAAATATCAATGGCATAACAAGTTTAAACCGAAACCCACTTAATGTGAGACGTCAGTGGCGGTAGACTATAACTTTAATTGAGGTAATTGATTTATAGAAATCAAAGGACATACTTCAGAACAATTGGCAAAGGTTTGTATAGACACGCTGTAAGGTCTATGGCAGTATTTTCACTAGTTCACTTTCGTACAAGCTTCTCGCTTGCTTAGTACAGTTACAATTAAGCTATAAAATGGTATTCGATACGAGATTGTATCTTGCAGTGGTTCATCTGCGGGTCATCGTCCAGCGACGCAGACAGCGTGCGTAGTCTGTACGTGACTAAATCATAGGGTCTATTTCAGGTCAATTTGTTAAGTTGATTAAGACGGACGCATAGACACGGTATCTGTTTAAACAAACTGAAGATGTAAATTGAAAAGAGACGATCGTGTAAATATTTATATAAAAAGGTTCAAAACGTAGACATATTTACGGATTTTAAGCCAAGAAACACAATCGCTACACGTATACTGTCATGACGATATTCATTCGAACAGAATAACTTTTTACTTCTGAACGTTTTGTGGATAAGAAAGTACATTTGTAACAAGTCATTTAATATAAATAAAGCAAAATCTAAGTATACGTATATACCGTTACATAAGTCTCCAAAACTGCCCCTATAGTCAC